CATGAATCTCAATATAGCATGAACCTTACAATTAGATTATATCATTTGTTATGAACTAATGCCAAACTAAAGAAACAACAAATGTATCCAATATAAATAGCAATAGCTACAAAGCCAATCTGAATTTCTAATTGTATCAAAAAATGGATGCAAAAGGAGAATTATTATTAATGCCATATACCTTGCCATATACAAGACAGTCTCTGTCTCTGCGTAGAAAACTTATTTCTGTGTTTTGCATACTCTACAATGGATGGTTGAAGGTATGGAGGTGTGTATGAAAAGAACATTCATTCCCAACCAATTTGGCATCTAGGCAATGTAGGAAAGAATTATGAGAATGGTGAACATTCTTATAATATTCAACTAACTATATGCTTTCTACTTCTATTTAATAGTAAAGTTTGAAACTCAGCAGAATCCTTTGCTGTCTTGTTAGCACTACAAAACTGACTCAAGATCCAAGTCTTTTATAAGCAGTTTGACTATCATTCAATAGGTAAGTAGACATGTTTGATTTAGTTGTGCCATTTTAAAAGTGTGTTATCTGACAGGCTGAGTACAGAATGCCTAATTAGATCATGCTACTTCATTTTTGATAATGAATGCTGCATTTGCAAAACTTGAAGCTTCACAGTAAGCAGATATTAATTTTTCATGGCTATTTCTGACAGGTAACATTTTTTTTTTATCTTCCACATATAGTGCATTTGTATAGAAATACTGTTTGTGTGCCTGACTCACATTTAGAATTTTAACTTTGGGGTTAAAATGACTGTTGAAACGCATTATCATTTGGAGAAAAATATTCTTGGATTTTATAAGGTATTCCTGAGCACAAAATTAAATCATGTTTAATACCCATTTAGGCTGAATATATCAGGATGGAGTAAAATGAAAATTTAACACCACATAGTGGTTGTTTGGGATTAATTGACACGTGTTGGACTCAGAATAAGGAAAATTTGCTCAACACCTATCTTGCCTAGAACAGCTGGAAGATTGTAGTGGAAATACTCACTCTAGCTGCAGGTTCTTTAGATTATCACTATACAGCTGCCTTTCCCGTGAGAAAAAATTGCTTTATTTGATCCTTGTCAAGAATTTCTCATTAATCAGATCTATAGGGAAGAAAAGGAGAAAGCTGTCTAATGGCTGAGAATGGATGACATGCAAATGTAATTAACACAGTAGCATCTGAGTGACCATTGAGTCTTACTGAATCTCTGTCTGAGGTCTTCTTCCAAGGAATGGAAGGGACCTCTTCTGAGGTCTTCTAGGGATCTCCTTCAAGGTCTTCTTTCAGGGAATGCAAAACCAGAAGAAGGAAAGCAATACTTGTTCCCATCATCACCCAAAAGTGATGATGGGAACCCAGTCCTCACTATTTAGAACAGGGGTGTCAAACTTGCAATGTCATATGATGTGTCATGATGTATCACAACTTTTTTTCCATTGCCGGCAATGGGGTGGACGTGGTTTCACTATGATGCATCTGGCCTACAGGCCGGCAGTTTGACACCCCTGGTTTAGAATGTTTGTAGGCAAACTTAAAAAGATATTTAAGGGCAAATGCATGATTTCTAACAAGGATCGTGCATGGTTGCTGAAATGGATTAAGGCTATGTTATATAGTGAAGAAGTAACCTAAGAATCTTCTCCCCATAGTTCTTTTACTTTTAAAAGTTTCCACCAACACCTTATTTTGGAAAGGAACTTGTGTGCTGCCATCGTTTCCTTTTCTTTTTAATACAGTTCCCATTTTTCTTTGTGATATGCCAGGTAGCCTTAGCTACCTCCATAATGGTTTCAAATATCTATATGGAATCAGAATGTCTAAAACTCCAGAGTGAGATGTGAAACTTTCTGTAACAAACTTGGAGAGGGCAATATGAATCCTCACAAGTGTCTGCTGTCTTTCAGAGGTTCTCTACTAAAATATGTTTATGGTAGGTTCTGCTAATTAAGCTGAACCTTCTGAAACATGGGACAATTTGCCTTGCCAACCCAGACAAAATGCTTCATTTTTGTTGTTATAGGGCTAAGTATTTTTTTTTAAGTTTCTGTGTGGGAAAAATGTATCTCTCAGCCTTTTGTTTGCTCTATTTCTTCTTTGCTATGATCTTGAAATTGTAACTATTGCAAGGAAGAGGATCTATCCATCTCCATTTGCTCAACACAGGTAAACTGTAGGGTTGGGATTAAGAAAATCATTCATTAGCTAACTCCGATTACTGGCTAAGCCCCAGGATAGTGTAATAGCTACTCAGTTTTAACTTGAACATTCAGCTATAAATCATTTTTATTATGACTGATGTTTGAAACTATTGTTTATTTCTTTAAAACAAAATAAGTTACAAGATGGCTTCTCTGTTTTGTTTAGTTTGTCCTGCTTTGGTTTTATTATGGCATATTTCATATCCTGCCCTGCTTTGGTTTTATTATGACATATTTATTATTTCATATCCTGATTGGATATGAATGAACTTTACTGGTCTCCAATAAAGGGTGTGAATATTTTGTTAGAAACATTTTGGGTAGAGTTTGCAGTTCTCACTACCTGTCCCCCTTCATTTCATGTCTCTTAATGATCTCAGAAAAAGCTGGCAAGCTTTTCCATGTACTTATAAATCAGGCAACAATACTGCAGCAGCCATAGTCATCAATTAAACCAGAATGACCAGATATTTTACTGAATTATCATCTGCTGCATTTTATATACCCACCTCCTATTTCTGAATATTAAGTCATGATTTGAAGTAGAGGTATGCACTGTAAACTGAAAGCATAGAATGATTCCAAAAAGAACAGCCTCAGAAGCAGCAACAACAACAAAAATGTAGAAGCTGATTTTCATTCATTCATTCATTCATTCATTCATTCATTCATTCATTCATTCATTAGTAGAAGTAGTGTATACCTTTTTTTAATGAAAATTATCAGCACTTTTGATCAGTGACGTCATCAAAGTAAACAAGCCCATGTGCTGATTACGTCAACAGGGCACAGCCCTAAAAGGAAGTGACGTGCTCAGCCCCCACCCTCCGGATGTGACGTTTTGGCCTAATCCCATCAAGATTGGCAGGCAATCCTCTGGGTACATGATTAGGTTAACCTTAGACTAATTCCATGGACGTTCAAAACCAAAAAGAGCTAAGTAAAGTGAATAATTAGCAGAGGCCTGTGTTTTTGGGGAACAAGCCCTACTTTGGGGAGCTGTTAATCCTAGACTATTTCTATGGACATTCAAAACCAAAAAGAGCTAAGTGAATAATTAGCAGAGGCCTGTGTTTTTGGGAACCAAGCCCTACGTTGGGGAGCTGTTTGTGTTTTTGGGAAACAAGCCCTACTTTGGGGAGCTGTGAAATAAAAAATAAAAAAAGGCTTTTTATTAGCCTAACGATGCTTTGAATTTTTGTGGAGTTTTAAAAATCAGTGCCTCAAAAGCTGGGGGAAAAGAATCCCCTGAAAGGCAGCCAGAGCCTGCATTTAACCCCCTTTTTCTAAAAGATATTTTTTCTGAAAGTTTCTAGGTGGCTTTAAAAGCATTTCCTCGAACGCAGGGGAAAAAACAAACAAACACAGCCCCTTTTAAAACCCACAGCTGGTTTTTACCTTTGTAAAAAATCTAAAGACACATATTTTGCCATTTGCACCCTGAATAAAATTTATTCTGCCCCCCTCCCCACTATAGCAAAAGACAAGGAATATTAACAGGAATTAAAATGCTCACAAGAGGCAAGCAGCCAACCAGGCTCACAAGAGGCAAGCAGCAAGCAGCCATGCCTCTCTGTCTGCTAGTAAAAAAAAAGTGGGGGTTAGGCCTTGTTTGGGACGTGCCCGGGCATGTCATGCTCCCCGTGATCTGGGCATGCGCAATGCTCAAGGGCGTGTCATTGCAAGGGGCAGGGGAGTTTGCGCGGGCAGGGACATGCCCGGGCATGTCATGCTCCCCGTGATCTGGACATGCGCAATGCTCAAGGGCGTGTCATTGCAAGGGGCAGGGGAGTTTGTGTGGGCAGGCCTGAACAGCTAGCAATTTAACCCCAGCAGTCTTTTGAAGATGGCAGCCTCTGATGGAGATTTGTTTGATGTAAATTTGACCCCCAAACCACCCAAGCGTGGGCGCAGAATAAGAAAAGGACCTGAGTTATACAGTTTCATTGAAGAGAACAAACTTATAAAACCTTGTTATTGCAGATTCTGCAAAACATCCAATGGTAAGTAAATATATATATATATAATTAAGAAAACAGTATTTTGATTGGTTGAAACAGCTAGCCTAAATCTACCTTAGTTCCTGCTTTAGAAACGGCGGAGTCTCAAAATGTCAGCATGCCTCAGATTCTGAAAGCGTGTATTATTAAAATATTACACCACTGTTTAATGGGGTGTCTACAATCAGATGAAGACCACGTGGATGGTACCAGTGAAACAGAACATATTAACAGCTTATGCTTTAGACTTTCTATGCCTCATGTTCTCTGGATCATCATCAGTATTTCTGACAAAATGAATAACTTATATTTCACCCAGGGTTCCCTTGATGAGGTCAAGACATTCATACAGCGTATCGAAAAGAGCCGTAAACCACTGTCATTAATGTCAAAGATTGAATCTGAATTGCCATTGTCTCTGAAGAGGCTCATATGCCAAAATGTAACAGAAATTAATTACAAGAATCTCTTAATGCTATGAAATTTATAATAAACTGGGCTTTACAAATCACATGAAATATGTATTATGTTTTTCTTTTGCTGACCCCTGTTTAACTTTGGCAGATGTTAAACACAATTTAATCAAAACTCAAGGGGTATTATTCAATTCGGTTTCCCTGATGAGGCGGGGCTGGTCAGATTTGCAAAAGTTGTGAAAAACACACCTCCTCTGATGTGATTAAGTTGTGACATCACCAGCGTATACAAAAGCAGGGTCCATACTGGTCTAGTCACATTTGCTGGTTTCTGGCATATCTGTACCTCTGGAGCCATTTGATCTGCTAAGAAGACCCTTTTCAGAATGGAAGCCACTATTGTAAGTAGTTTTATGGCTAATTTTTGAAACACTTAGATGCAAAATGGAGTTTTAGAATATTCTTGTATGCTTGCTTGTTTGACTGATTGATTGTTTTATTTCACTAGAATGAATTGACAGACTCAGAATGCTTGAGGGCTTATGAAGGTATTTGTCTTTCATACTTTCACACATTTAGATTCTGGTAAACATTTCTGCAACAAATCTGACCATAGGATTTCTCTTTTCCTTCAGAATGGGGGGATGACCAGTTATTCACTGATGTTGCTATTACTGTAGAGAACCAATTGACAGACTCAGAATGTTTGAGGGCGTATGAAGGTATTTGTCTTTCATATTTTCATAACATTTTAGATTCTGGTAAACATTTCTGCAACAATTCTGAACATTGGGGGCTTTTTTTTCCTTCAGAATGGGTGGATGAACAGCCATATGTAGACCTTACATTACCCCAGGAGCCCCAAG